AAATTACAACTTTTGAAATATACTGCAATATTAAAACGTTTAAAGAAAATATGCGCTGATTAAAATAATAACTAAACATGAGACATTAAAAAACTCTATTATCCCTAAAGCTTGAAAATAGGCTTAAAATCAAGAATATCTATTTGAACTTTTGCTCAACACTTTTGGCATATTAACTTAAAAGCTAGCAAAGAGTAGTGTACTACATTAGCCTGTTCAGAAGTTAAAATTGAAAAGGTCATTGGATGCCTTTTACTGTATGAATAGTGTAATAGAAACATTATATCAGTCAGCAATGAATTTTGACTCGTGGTTACCATAATGAATTCATTGAATTGTCATTAGAATAATGTATTATTAATATTTAATTACAGAAGTAGCATTTCTGTAAAATTTCAGATTCTACTGATCTCTTCAATTATGATATAGAGGTGACATTTAATTTGCCTCAACAAAAGTGGAATGGCTTTAAACCGACTCAGAACTGGTATTGGGAGATGTGGCTAGATAATGCATAGATAGAAAATGAAAGAAAATCCAGAGTGTGATATGGTAATGTAATGGGATTTACACAATGAAAATTTTTCTATCTTGAAGAACACATAAAAATGTTTTTTGATTATCCGTTTTAAGGGGATTTTTTTATAAAAACAACAAAATTGTGTTCACATTATAATAATGCTGCATATCAAAAATTCAAGGAGAAAAATGTGTAATACCATAAAATGATAAAATCACAGTTTAACTAGGATATAACAAAACACATCATAACGAAATATTTCTTAAATAAGTTCCAAGGAAACTTGAAGAATATCATGAAATGATATCCTAGAAAGCCCTAGAATAGATAGTTGTTTTTTACATAATTTTGTAGCTTTGTTATGAAATATTTAATATGTATTGTGATTTAGTTATTTATTTATTAAATTATTTCTTATATTACTAATTTTATTTTTATATGTAGATGTTTGTATGATATAAGTGTTTTTTGTGCCATATTATAAACAAATTACATTACAATTGTAGTTTACATTTAACTACAATTTTTAGATAAAAATGTATTTTTTTAAAAAAAAGGCAGGTACCCCCATGTTTTATTGTTTAAAACAACCTATAGGTACTAATTGGTAAAATTTAATCAAAGTAAATAATAGTTCTATCGCCTCTCTTTTTCCCTTAAATTGTATCAATTTACGTTTTTTAAATGGTAACATACATTTTGAACTTTCTTAAAAATAAAATATGTATTAACTAAAAAAACGACTGATTGATAACAACTTGTGAACTATTATTTTGAAAATGCATAAGATTTTTTACTTCATGACGTGAGGAGAAGAACGGTTCAGAAATTCTTAAAAATAAAAATTGATAGACCTGCACTTCACCACTATCCTTTATTTTTAAATGCTACTAACTTCCGGAATAGTGGTTTAATCAGTCTTTCTAAGTTTTTTGATCAGTTTTTGTAAGATTATTTTCTTGTTTGTTAATTAGTTGATCATATGCTTCAATTTAAAAAACATAATATAGATACAATTTTAAGATAGAAAATGAAATGGAACTATGTATTTCGTATAAATTAAAGCGATATGGTCTTTTTAACTTTGGAAAAAAATAAATCATATTTTAACTAGTACTACTAATAATATTGCGTAAGAAATAATAAACAAAACACTCAGTATTCAATGTTTCAGATTAAACTGAAAATGGTTATAACTTTTGAACTAATTGTCACTTTGTTGAAATTTTTATTTTAATAACTATTGCCTTTTTAGACTACATTCAAATTATATTTTTAGTTTCTATGCTCTGTTGAGAAGGTTTTTTGTTTTACTATGTGTGTTTTTTATATTTGTTCATAAAAGTTCTCAGTTCTCACTGGACCTATTTTGTTGGTTTAGGTATTATAAGAATTTGATATTAATTTATTTGAACAAATTAGCTCAAAAATTTGAAAAACTCTCTCAATTTTATAGTTTAAAAAAAATATCTCAAAATTACAAAATTGTAGTAAAATGGCATTTTCAAAGGTTTTTTTCATTTTTAAACTGTTATAATTTAAAAAAACATACTGATCATAAGTACAGGAAATGTTTAATGGATAATGACCACAAAAATTAAATATTTTAAAATTAAATAACCCTCAAAAATTGAAAAATATGATAAACTTAAAATTCGAAAACTCTCTATGTGTTATGTTTTATATAATAATTATTGAAATAATAATTTATAAAAAAATTTAATTAATACTTATAGATAGGAATTTTCAAAACAATTTTATTTTGAACGAAAAAAAAACAATTTATATTATAAAGCTTATTAAAACTGGCTGTATACTAAATTATTCCTAAATATTTAAAGAAAAATATTCGAACACCTGTATTTTTTAATGTGATAAAATAGGAATTATTCTAATTTAAAAACTCACTACTCCAATACTCCAAAACTATTTTTGCTTTCATCTACGGTTTCATTCTATCAATATTGTTCCTTTTTTAGTAAATTACTGTTCAGTTCAGTGTAATGTATATTAAGTATAGTACTTTAATACTAATTTCAACAAAAAATATCTATTATATTACTTAAATAATTTTAATATATAGAATCATGTTAATTTCTAATGAAATAATTATATGTAAATTAATCTTAAGCATTTATAAAAATTAATTTTAGTACGTATTAAATTATAAACGAAATTTAGTAAAAAAAAAAGAGTAAATCACGATTAATTATAACTTTTACTTATTATGATTTATAACGTTGTACGATAAAATAAACATTATTTTATTTTAATATAATACTATATACTTCAATTTCCACTGTAAAAAACACGGAATATGTCCATTAAGATTGCGTGATTTCCTGTTTAATTATTTATTTTCATGCTATGTTTTATTTTAAGGCAGTTACAGTAAAAACTTCTTATCATCTTTGAATTATTAAGTGTCAATGAATGCCAAAAAAAAAAATTCATCAACCCTATGAATACAATTATTAAAATCATGTTTATAGTTGTTCACTATGTTTAAAAAAAATCCTATCAATTTTTTTTTATTTTATTTTTTGTTGATTGAAAATAAAATTTTAGGTAAAAAGAAATTTTTAAATCTGGAGGTTGGTTTACAACTCGAATTCTCCATTTTTACCGATTATTTGCCTTTTTTTAAGTTCCAGCGTCTTGCTCTAATCGCATTTATGAGTGTGCGTTTTTCTCCCACGTCTCTAAGTACTTCTTCATTTGTTTTCTGCTCTATCCAACTTATCAACCTTTCCATACACCTCCAACACTATATAAGTCTTATATAGTCTTATATAAGTTTTTATAGGTCTCTTTGTGATATTGAGATGTAACTTTTTTGAAGTGAGCAACTTATGTTTTTTACTAAAGGCAGATTTGCTAATGCTATGCATTGTTTTTACTCGCGGACACTCTTATCATCAGATGTGATTTTGCTTCCTAGGTATACCATTTCCTCTACTTTCTTCAGTTTTTGACTATATATGTATACATCAGCTTTTTACTGTCGGGTCTCTGGTACAGGCTAAGATCTTCGTTTTTACACTATTTATTTTTATTTTTGATGTTCTGAGCATTTCATCCATTTCTTCAACTGCACGCTGTATGTCACCTTCACTCTCTGCTATTAAATCGTATCATTGAAATAATTTCTCCACCAATTTCGTTTCAATATTTAGTCTTGTTAGATTTGCTTTCACTATATTTATAACTTTTTCGATGTAGAAGTTAATAAGTGATGGTGATAACGTACACCCTTGTCGGAATCCTTTTTTTATTTGAGCGTTTGTTGTGATTTCTAAAAAAAAATTACTATTTTCTTTTTAATTATATAATAAAAAAATACAGCTCAAGTTGTATTGATAAAGTAAAGAAAAGGGGCGATAGCAAAAATTGACTGATGATAATGATTGTTTGCGATATTCGTTACACAATTATGTTCGCTAAGTGTTTTTGATCATTAACGAATATATTCGGTTGTATAATATTTATTTTCCATTAATACTTTAAAAATTATTTTTTTTAAATCAAAAATATGTCATTAATTAATTTTCTATTAATTTTTTTTTTCATGATATAAAATTATGACAATGAAAAAAACTTTATGGTTCATTAATTAATTTACTTAAAATAAAGCACTAAAAGTAATTTACTTTTCAAATAAAAAATTTATACTCGGTATATACATAATGAACGGTCTATCACGTTATCGTATAATTACGTATAATATAATATATAATAATACCACGTATAATTTGATAGCCAAACACTTACAGATGTAATTTAAACAACACATAAGTCTAAAATATATATGCATTCTACGTTGTGTAGAAGCAAAAAGTAGGTTATTGTAGGATTAAAATGAGGCGATAAATTAAATAATTAAATCTGTGCTATTTGTTGGATGGCTAAGTCAGTAGGATGTAAGTTAATGGACTGAAAAGCTTGAATAGATTAGTGTAGATGACGTTTCCCATCCCTTAATTTATTTCAAGAAACATCATTTTGGTTTATTTGTATAAGTCTTACAACTTGTTCCATCTTTAAATAAATATATAGAATGATTTTTCTTCGAAAAAATAGAGTGGCATTATAAAAATATTGTAATAAATTAATGAACTCGATAACAATTTTAAGTACTATATTTAGTAATAAATAATTATTTATTAAAAAAAAATATTGAAAAATCTAACTTAACTTTTTTTTTTCACGGTTATTAACTAGAAGATTGGTTTGACACCAGCCATCTTCAGTTTATCTAATCTATACAAAGGAAAGTGTAAACTCCTGCCAGCACTCGCTTTATTTTCAATAAAGTAAGTTTTTATTATTTGTTATAATTTATAGTACTCATTTGAATAATTATCTATAACCGTATCGTATAAAGTATTATTCTTATATCTATTATAATGGATATAAGAGTTCGTTGAAAAATATACTTACTAACCTGTGTGACTAGAAATATCAAAAAAAATATATATAGATTCAATTATTTATTTATTTCATTATGTACATATTATAACTAAATTTAATATGCAGTAATTCAGAAAAACAATAGAATATATAACGTTCATTAAATAATTATTTTACAAGTAAATTATATCAGTAACAAAAATATACTAACTGTAGTCAAAAATTGTTATTTAATGTTTTTGTAGATTAGTCACCCCAATTAATATACAGATAATTATACATTTAACTGTTTCATTAAAAGATAATCTACCTCTTTTAAACAATGAAATCTGTGGTTCATACTCAAAAGCTGATAAATCATAAAATAAATTTATGGAACTTTTTATAATTTGCATAGAAGAGAATGTGTTTCTTTCACACGTCAAAAAATTATTAAAAAAAATTTACCAAAAGAATTCGTTTTTACACTTCAAAAATTAAATTTTCTATAATACGCCATTGAATGAAAAATTTTTTTTTATTTTTCTCAAAAATTTCTAAAAGTCACATCAGCTTTTAGAAAATAACCACAGAAATATATTTTTCAATTCTATCTGATAAAGTTGAATTAGTAATATGAATATTGCAAAATTACAAAGTGGTCATTTGGTTTACATTATAATCAGGTGCGATATAAGTAAATTTCTTGATTTTAATTTAAATATTCTAAAAATGGTGTTAAAAATTCTAATACTGTATTAATTAAGTTTGTTAGGTTTACATTACTACGTAATTCTTATTCGAGATAAAATGCCAAAGTAAAATTTTAAAATTAAAGTTATTCAATAATACTTGTTATCATAATAAAAAAATATATATTAATTAACATTACAGTTACATAGTTGTTAAAATAATAATCAAGTACTTTTTGAAATACATCATAACTTAATACAACAAAAGAGATCTAGGGTACCCATGGACGAATAAAGTAAAGTATAAAATGTATGTCAGTTACCCATAATATTTAATATCTGTAATTTACAATAAAGAAGAATCGTTATGTACAATATTTTCCATTAACATTATAGAACATGTTAACGATCATTATAGACACTTAAATTTTATGGAAATTATACAGTGTATACTTAAGATAATTTGTAATGTGACTGGTGGTTCTTAACGTATTATTTAAAGCGCTTTATTTTTTGTAGCTCTATTTTGTCCTGTAGTTACTTAGTAAACTACTTATATACAAATTTAATGATATATTACAAAAATAATTGTAAACTCAATTATTCTCTGAATATTTCTATAACTTTACCAACTTATTACTAAAGAAATGATTCAGACGCCATAGTCTGTTGACTAATATCTGTTGAAACTGCCAAAGTTTCATCTAGTTGCTGTTTTGATGGAGACGTGTAATGTGGGGCGAATGTGGGTTCTCCTGGAATTACACAATAGTGCGTTGAGTGTTGTGGTTCAGGATCGCCGTACTGAGAATGATAGAACTCCTCACGCATCATGTGATTTAGTGAACCACATTTGAAATAAAGTATCTGTTGAAACGGTCTTCGAAAATCGCGATTCAGTGTAGCGTAAATTACCTGAAATAAGACAAAAGATAAAAAAAAAATGTTATGTACCATAAAAATTCATTCAATATGTTTAATCGAACATAATTTAAAAAAAAATGTATTTTGAATAAGTCAATATTAAAATATGATTCGATTAGATTTTGAAGACTCGAAAGTTTGTATATACATAAATTATACCTATTCATTTTTATAGTTATCAAATTTTAGAAACATGTACATGATTCTATGAAACCTAAAATATTCTCTAAGTATTCATTGCAAAGATTACTAAACTTTTACTTGTATCATGTACACGCTATGCATGTACAATCAAATTATCAATAAACTATACTTTGTTTGGCTTGAAATATAACTATTTTGTTTAAATTCCAATAGGATTAACGTTTTACACTTCTATACCCTTTATTAAAAAGAGTTTCTTGAAAAATGTTTATTTGAAAAACTACATAATTTTTATTATATTTCCATTTTAATATATAAATTTAAAACTTATATTTAATAGTTATCCAGTAATAATAATCATTATTACTATGATATTACACATTCTACATTTTACCATAAAATGATTTATTTATATTTAAAAATAGATTGTTTTCATTAGATTATTTTTGTGATAATAACCCGTTAACTATAGATAATCTTACTCGTAGTCAGGAACAAAATTTAAGTAATTATATTCATGCAATCTTATATTTTAGATCATTTCAACTACCTACTTTATCTCAAGTATATTAAAACATCGACGGTGTTTTGTAGAAAGGGCGTAACCCACCAAAAATCGAAAATCAACTTTTTAGTATCAAAATTTTCAGAAAAAATAGGAGAATAATCTGTAAAAAGGGCGTTTATAAACATAGACTCAATATTTACCTATAGCAATAATAGTATACAGAAACGCCTATTTGATAAAATACAATTTTAATTTTAAAACGTAGAAAGGGCGTATACCACACTTTTAACTATGAACATTTTGTACTAAATGAAAATTCGGCACATTTTACATAATGAACGTGATAATCTTATCAAGTTCATTAAATGTTGAGTTTTATAAAATCCAAAAGTCAGTTCATCATATAATTTACAAAATATGTTGACATAGATTGTGATTAGCTCTGTAACAATTTTCGCGGTAAAATAATAATGATAATGGTATCTACTCGCGCATTGCTGGTTCTTATATTATTATCTTATTCTTATATCAATTTACAATTTCGAGTCTCGATTTACCGAGTACAGACTGACCACGTGGAACTACTAAACACTAGACTTTAATTTATTACTTTAATACATTTTAAACAATATCAACAAGCGAAATAATGAGTAATCAAGAAGTAAGAAAATACTAAGACAATTAATAATTAATACTACGTCTAATACTTCTATACACCAGCTTCTTACACCAGAAGCTAGTTCAAATATTCAAGTGAATGCTTTTGAAAATAGTGAGCTTTTAGACGAACTTCAGAACTACAGTTTTAGTTTAGATATTGAGAGCATCGATCAATTATATTACTCGTTGACAATATAGATAAAAATAATAATAATTTTGTTAAAATTATTAATAATTTAAACAATTCAAAAAATCAAAGAGGCGCTTGGATATTAAAATCGCAAGAGGGGCGTAACCCACATATACCTTTTTAAAGTGAGAATTACAGTGATAACCCGTGTTTTTATCAACGTTATCAATATAAAAACTGTTTTATTAATATATCTGTTTTCCAAAATTATAATTTTAATAAATTTTCTAATTAAATTTTCTGTACTGTTTTTAGTTTCCCGTGAAAATTTTTGAAATTGTGGGTTACGTCTTTTCTACAAAACACCGTCGACATAATAATAAATTTTACAAAAAAAAATTAAAATAGTTAATTTCGGGAATCAAGAACTATTTAATTTAGGATAAATTACTCGCTTAGAATATAAACCTAATTAATGATACATATTTCATTCAGTTTCTAGTAATATTAATGAAATATGTTTATCATTAAAACATTTGTCTTTTTCAAAGACAAAAATGATTGTACATTTTTCGAGACTAACAAAAATTATCAAAAATAAATTTATACTTACAGGGTTCAATAACGAATTTGCATAACCCAACCATAGGAACAAGCTACTCAAAGAACTGGGTATACTAGAAGGATCGCTTAAAAATGGCCTAACCAGAGCTAGTACAAAGAATGGTAGCCAGCACACCGTGAATGTACTCATTATTATACCAAGTGTGGTGGATGCTTTTCGTTCTTTTGCCAATTGAAACCTAAGCTTTTTTCCACCAGTTTCTTGTTTTTTCGATGCATTCACTGATTTCTTATTATTGCCGTTACTGTTAGGGACTACCATAAGAACTGGACATTGATATTCACCTAGGGATCGCCGGACCATTGAACAACATCGACAATCCCTAGTTATACTGCTTCCGATTCCACTATACTGCAAAATAAAATTATTTTATTATAACTGATAAAATATAAATATTTTTATACATACAATTTTTAATAAATTTAATTATTAGTGTATATTGCGACTAATTTAACTACTTTATTTACTAATCGGTTATGTTATTTGAACGTGTATGAAAGTCTTAACATTTTAAATGGCTTGTGCATAATTTATTTCTTATACTTTTATTTTAATAGTAAATTTAACTCTCCAATCTTTCATAAACCTATGCATATATAAGTAAATTTATTTCTTGTTTAAATAAACTAATAACAAGTGAAACAGTTAATGTTTTTTTATATCTATTAGAAAGATCTTTGAAAATACTTCCATTTGATAATTGAAAAAAATAAACATTAGAGCACAGAAAAATGAAAACGAAGTTAAACTGAAAGCAAACACAAGTAAAATACAGCTCTATAATTGTATTTAGACTGGTTTTGTTTAATTTTCCTAAATCTCTTTTTTAGGATTTCATTTTTTTTTTTTTTTTTGTATAATGGTCGATTTATTATAAAATAAAAAATATTTCCCAAGTGATGAACCATAAAAAAGAAAAACTTATATAAAAGTGACTGGAAATTTGATACACTTTAAAAAATTAGTAAATACACATTAAATTATTATGCGTAAGTAGATACCGCTAATATTAGACACAATATTTATTATCGGAATACATTAGTGAAACAAACAAAATAGCAAAGTGTACATATTATTGGAAAATAATACATCAAGTAGATATTATTTAAAAATATACAACTTGTTAAAGTAAACGGCGAAAAGTGTTAAAACTTTTTGCAATTTGTCAAAAGTTTTATTGAAAAGAAATAATTAAAAATATTTTTATATAATTATAGTTTTTCAAGAAGTCCGTCTAAAGTTTAGTCCTTTGTAATTTTTATTTTAAAAATAATCAAATAAAAACAATCATGAATATTGTCGAACTAATATATATTTAAATATATTGCTTTTTATTTCATCTATGTCACGTCCCCACTGTGCTGGGTTTTTTTTATATTTAAAAAAGGAAATTTTTTTTTTTTACAAAAATTTAATATAATCCACTTATAAGTGAGTAAAAGTAATTATAATTACATTACAAAATAAAAATAATTTTGAGAATATTTTAATTTGGCTTTTTTAGTGGCATATATTTCTCTATTTATAAATTATTAAGTACTTTTTTGTTCATCCTCTACAATTTATAAGTGTGTCAACTTATTATTTTTCTTTTTAATAGAAAATGATATTAATTAAAAAAAAGACTAGTCGATAAGAAAATTTGGTCAGTATATTGGAAAATATTAACATGATCATATTAACGCGAGATTAAGCGTTCGGAAAAAATGATTTATGATATAAAATAGTTTTACTCGCACTTTACCTCCAGTCTATATTTGAAATCAGTTATAAATTCTACAATACTAGTTCAAAAGTTCGACCAGTCATTTTCTTAATTATACCATTTTCTATTTTACTAGCTAATTAAATATGAATATTGTCATTTAAAAAATTTAATTGACATCCTTGATAGATATAAAAGATAAATGGAAAAAGTTTTTTAAAATTTATAAATACATAGTAAAATACATGTAAGTAAAGACATCTGTAAATAAATTTTATGTATTGATAATTGAGTGAATAATGCTAAACAGATCACTCTTTATATCCGTATCTATTTTCCAAGAGGTGATATGTAAATGTAAGCAACTTTTCAAAAGAGTAAAAATTAATTTTTTATTTGAAAGGCATCATCGAGATTTTCAAGAAAAAAAATCTTGTCGACAAAATTGATTGGTCATTTTTGCCACATGATAGAAAACATCTTTTTTGTACAAAATATGAAAATCATATTTTTATGACTTATTATTTTTTAGATATAAGCCATAGATTACTGTTTAACAAATATTATTTGTTAAAATTGATAAAAAAAAAAAAAACAGAGAAAATACAAATATTTTAGCTTATCAAGGAAAAAAATGAAGTTTTCGCGCTACAAGTTTAAATTTAATTTCGATGTAAATATATTGTTTTCAATTTTTATATCATAAATTTCTCGGGTTGTGGCATATTTTGATAGTTTTCCATAAAATTATGCAAATAACCCATTTGTAATTCGTATCAATATTGAAATAAAATTGATAGTCTTTCAATATTCAAATGTGATTATCTAAATGTTATGAACCTTTTTGATGAGAACACTCAAAATATTAAGTTTTCTGCTAAATAGTGTTTTAAGTAAGAATTTAAAATTTTATATAAAAAAATGAATATTCTATTCGAAAAAGATATATGAATGTCTAAGTAATTAGAAAACTCCCGGGTAGTTAAATAACAAATTATCGTGTAAATATCTAAAATAATTGACTTGCAAATATGCATTTGAAATATTGAAAAATTAAACTTGCGAATCTATAGTATTTTGTTCATTCATTGATTTTTAAAAGATGTGATTTTGAAATTAAAATTAAATAATATTAGAGTAGCAATGATAATATTATAATACTTAATAATAAAAAATAAATAAATTTAATTAGTGAAATATTCTTAAACTAAAATTTTTGTATAAAATAATTTTGATTTTAAGTGCTACAAAGGAAACATATATTTTTCACAGCTATACATAAGAAAACCACAGTTTTTACATTTTTATCAATAACAATTTTAGTGTGATTTATGATGTTTTTCAATGACTGATATAAATAACTAATCTACTCGTAGTTTAATTCTTATTGGCTGTTTTTATTACCTTAAAAATCTTCAAGAATTTTCCCCAATCCGTTAAAATTCCAAAGTGAAAATTCATAATAATTATTAAATAAAAAATGTATTCTTATGATTAATTTTTTACGATTTATTTATAAATGTATTTTAAAATATTATTTAAAGATTCAAAAAAACATTGTGCTATGTATAACAGCACCAACATAATTTTGAAAATAAACTTTAGAAACGTCATTTACAATACCAATTGCATTAGGTTAAAATTAGTTTAAGAGATTTGTGATGGGGTTGCTTACAAACGGATTTAAGTTCGGATTTTATTAGTTATATAAAAAGGATACAGTGACCTACAACATAGAGCAATGTATTGAGGTTTCCTTATCTCGTGTAAACGCAAAGAGATACCTATTTCATTTAGGGTCGACAACAACACATTACAGATTGTCGCAGCTTAATTATGTGGTTTATAATATAAGCATGGTTTTGGGTAGAATGGTACAGTCACAGGTGGTAATATCCGACAGCAGGTCGCTGTATATTCTACACTGTAGAACGCACATGCATAATACTACGATTTTATAATAGACCTTTGCCAAAAGGCTATTACACTTAAAATTATAATTGACTTCAACCGAACATGCGTTACGTACATAACAACTGTGCTATGAATGTTTTTTCCTATTTGTTGATATAATTAACATTACCTAATTTTATAAACAAACAAAGATATTCACATCTTTGGTATTGTTATTATAGTGGCTAATTAAGTACTAAGAAGTTCGGAAGCCACTTAGGCTGATTACAGCAGATCAGAGCTAGTTGTTCCAACCATCTATTTATTTAAATAAAACATAAGCTGCGCTCGACGTACATTATTTTCTAATACATTACAATAATATGCATAGTTATTTATGCTCGAAGTGTATAACGTATAGTGTACTTCAAATTAAATTAAGATAGCAAATGGTAGTCGGCAATGCGCCAGCATCTGTAATCTACAAGAAATTAGGTTAGGAACATCATCGAGTTACCGTGTTTCAATGCGTTTTATATATGATCCTAAGAGAAATATACAATTAACGGGAATCATCGTAAGTCAACTCAACAATTGAAGCAACCTTATAAAATATCATTGTTGCACAATCAGCTTTTTTATATAGAATGTATTAAATTTAACTAATGGTAAGCTATAATAAAGAGTTCTATAGTATCAAAAGTGTAGTTCTAACAGCATTTTAAACTCATACATCACACCGATTAATTAAGTCATGATGTTTCTACAGATGAAATAAAAAAAATATATGAGAAAAACTTTCTTTTTTTTTGAATGATATGTTTACTTTTAAAAAAAAGTATTAATTGGACTGAATTATTTCACAAGTTTTTTGCTGCAATAATATATTATAAATAAACAATCTATTTTGTGTTTACTTTTTTTCCTCTGCTAGTTATAAAAGTTTGTTTTTATTTATTTAGAACGATTGGACGAGCGAATTCTGTAAAGTGAAAGAGTACTTAAAGATCTGTCATTGGTAATCTAGTAGTACTTGTCATCTCTTGTATTGTGACAGTGTAAGTTAGCTTAGTCAGTGATCGAAAAGGGCACATTTTGTGCATTATAGCCACATTTGAAATACTTATAAACGTCTTTACAGAAATACGAGATTCAATGAAAAAATAGATTCACAGTTTTATCAAAATTTATTTTCGTTTTTTTTTAAATCAAAATAAGAATGTTATGTTATTTTTCTCAGTGCTACAGCGACACAGTTGTACATTAAAAATTTAATTTTTTTTTTATTTTTAATCATATATTTGATTTTTTTCGATCTTCTTTTATCCTAAAAGAAATATCGTGACATTCCATAAAGAACAGAATAGTGCTTAAATCGTGTTCTGAAAATTATTAAAAATATTTAGGTTTCTCTCATCATCGATAAAAGTTCATACCTTTTTATGTTATATTGACTTATCATGGTATTACGTATATATATAATACACAAAATAGTAAAAAGACCATTTAAAAAATCTGGGTCAAATTTAAACAATATTTACTAGTCAATACTGATACATGTGTCATAGATGTTTTTGACGAAAATAATACTTTTTTTTTGTATACTTGGATTACTTTACTGTTATTGTATAACCTATCAAAATAGAAGTTGTTCCCAAATCCTAGTTAACCTGTGGATCGGAGAAATGTCTATTTCATATAGAAAACGAACAATTTTCATTTATCAAACTTGTTCGATGAATCTTTATATGCT